ACCACTCTCCTTTGGGGTATAATAAAGGGCTTCCTTCTCCTCCCTGTTCCTCCTCCCTCAATGCCCCTCTCCAGCAGGAAGTAGCTTGAAGACGACCTTACCCCCCAATAGAGGAAAACGGGAGGAATGTAGGGCCCCATAAAACCCCAAAGGAGACATTCCCTAAAACATGGCGCCTTTCCAGCTTCTCTTCTGGGTCCTAACATTCCCGCTGGCGCCAAAGTATGGCCTATCAAAATCATCACCCACCCTTCAGACCAATCAGCCACCGCCCCGCGTACTAACCACCCTCTCCTGGAGCTCAGCTCTCTATAAATGTATGCTTCACCCCCGAATAAAGCGAAACTTCTCCGGTGAACTGTCAGCTCGGGTCCTGTCATTCTTTGAGATATGAACCCCCGACGTTGGTGTTACAATGCTGTGTTCTAACTAACTGAGCTAACCAGCCAGCCCCTAAGATTATTCTGACACTTGTGAAAATGATAAGCGAATGGCCCATTAGCTCAGTTGGTTAGAGCCTGGTGCTTGATAACACCAAGTTCCAGGTACAGACCGGCTGCCAATAAATAAATAAACAAATAAAACTTTAAGGAAGACTTTATTTAGGACTATACTGTAGGGATATTGCAATAGGAGAGATCAGGCTCAACTCCAAATACAGCTAAGATATTTAGAGATTGATAGCCAAAGAGTGGGGTAAGTGGGTCCATGGAGGGAAAATTATGAAAAGGAGACATCAAGGGTAGGGGAATTCTTGCTAAAGGCAGGCCAAGGATTTATACATCAGAGGTGGGGGGCATGAGGAACTTGATCAGATATCAAGGGCGGGGGCATGACAGGATTTTTTACTAATATTGGCTTGGACAGGCTAAAGACAAGACCAGGGCTAAAGTCGAGGTCTGGTCAAAGACTAGTGGAAAAGAGGGATCAGAGGACGAAACTGTGACTAAAGTTAGGTCAAGGAGAGAGTCTTCGTGACCTCTCTAGGCCTGTTTTTTCCTCTGTGAAATGGGGCTAACAACCGCCACACAGAGGGCTGCTGCCAGGACCAAATAAAAGAATGAGATTAAAGGACTCAGCAGTAGCATTCCCTGCAAATTTCAGCAACTTTCTGAACAGGGCTTAGAACTCAGATCTGGTAAGGGCTGGCGAGTTAGCTCAGTTGGTTAGAGCATACTGTTGATAATACCAAGGTCAAGGGTTCAGATCCCTATACCGGCTAGCAGCAAAAAAACAAAAACCAAAAACCAAAATAACTCAGATTTGGTGGGATGTCCAAGCTGCTACCTTGACAGCAAGGGGGCCTCAGAGGACAGCGCTGCAGGTGATCGGGATGGGGATGTGAGCAGCTGGGCCAGATATGCCTCCCGGGAGAGAAGGGGGGAACTCCAGCCAGCCCGGATGTCGTCCAGGGAAAGAGGTGGGACGGGATGGAATGGGGAGCCCCGTGGAATGGGGTAGGAGGGTTGCATAGTGGGGATGTGAGCAGCTGGGCCAGATATGCCTCCCGGGAGAGAAGGGGGGAACTCCAGCCAGCGCGGATGTCGTCCAGGGAAAGAGGTGGGACGGGATGGAATGGGGAGCCCCGTGGCATGGGGTAGGAGGGTTGCATAGTGGCCGGCGGCAGCCTTGAACGCCTAGGTGAGGACATGTGCCTGTGCCCCAAGGTCAGGATCGTATCAACCTGACTTGAGCTCACGGCCGGTCTGGTGAATGCAGGATCCGGCCGCACAGCCCACACACCACACTCTCCAGCCCGCCTCGGTCTGTCTTCACTTCTGCGTCCCCGCCCACCGCGCGGCAGCCAATCGCATGAGTTGCGGCTCATCCGGGTTCACTCCCAACCAATCGCAGCTGAGCGATGAGTGAGACCGAGGACCAATCGGCGGCGGAAAGACCAACGCTTATCTGTGACGGAAACGGACGGAAGCCAATGGGCGTGTTCGTTTCGGGCGACCAATGGGAGACGGCGTCTCGGCGGCTAATGAGCAGCGGCTCCCCGTGCCGGCGGGGAGGGTCCGGGGTTCGAGCCAGAGTCCCCGGCAAGGGTGAGCCAGGCCAGGGCGGAAGGGGCGCGCCCGGGAGGTGATCAGAAAGGATGCGCCTGGCGGGTCATCAAGGAGCTGGCGCGGGGACTGGCTGCGCTTGGCAGGAGGTGGACTGGAGCACCCGCCGCCTCGGGACTGGTCCGGTGCCCGGTGGGTGTCCCCGCCAGACGGGTTTGGGGGTCTTGGGAGTAGAGGGGGTGCAGCCTTCCTAGGTGCAGATCCCACCTCGATCCATCCTATCCTCAAAGCTGGGTCTGGGCCCAATGGGGACGAGGAAAGAGAAAGTGGGCACCCCAAAAGCCCCATCCCCAGAATCTCATTGCAAACATTAGTAGATAATAATAGCGAGCATTTATTAAGCCCTTATTGCGTTCCAGGCCCTATGCCAAGCACCTTCCCTGCCTCATCTCATTGAGTCCTCCCAATACCCCTTTGAAGTAGAAACTATTACGTGCCTATTTTCTAGATGAGGAAACGCAGCCAGAGAGGAGCCCAGTCCTGAGTAATCTGACATTGTGTCACTATATTTTCCTTTTCCCATAGCTGTTTGTCTTAAATCAGTAACATGGGTGGAATCACTGACACCTCCAAGACAATCCTGGAGACCTGGAGGGACAGAGATGGACACACCCTCCTAGGCTTATGGGAGTCAGCAAGAAAAATGATCACAAGATAAAACCAATAATAATGATTTTATTCTCTTTTTGGTCATACTATTTGTTATTTTTTTGTGTCCGTATCAAGGTCTGTGCTGAATGTGTAACATGCAGGACTGCGTTGAAACGGCGCAACCATCTTTTGATGGCCTTGCTCTCAGCACCGCCATTTTCCAGATGGGGAAACTGAGGCCCAGAGTGGCTAAGTGACTTGCTTGACAGGGAGCTCCTGGACTCATCCCCAGGTCTGTCTGACTACACCTACCTGCCTGAGGGAGGTGGGTTCAGAGCAGATTTTTATATCGATACAAGTTTGTCAAGGGCCGGCCCGTGGCTCACTCGGGAGAGTGTGGTGCTGATAACACCAAGGCCACGGGTTCGGATCCCATATAGGGATGGCCGGTTTGCTCACTGGGTGAGCTTGGTGCTGACAACACCAAGTCAAGGGTTAAGATCCCCTTACTGGTCATCTTCAAAAAAAAAAAGGGGGGGGGAAGGCTCCCTGTTGTGATCATTTATGTAATAGGTGGGGACGCATACCCCAACCCTGGTAAAAAAAAAA